CACATTCCCAGTGAATTTGCTAGAAAGCCCAGGGGTCTCATTTATAAAGCGTGCGTACGCACAAAACAGGGCTGGAAACGTACGCACGCCAGTTTCCATGCAAAGGTTGTGATCTATAAAAAACAAACTTGACGGGAGAATGTGCGCACCTTTAAGCAAACTTTGAGCCGTGCGTACGCACGTTTTGGAGACGGAGCAGTTTGGCAACACCGATGGTGAGCTGGAGCTAAATGTCTTTTTGGTCACTTTTAGACCGAAAATCTAAAGAAAATTATACATACAGTATACAGAAAGATAATACAAATATAATTTCACTCACCAAGCCTATCACATGAAGCAAACATCCAACCCTTTTTAAATGTCCATGCCTTTGTTAAATATACATCCCTTTGTTCTTTAGTGAAACTGACGCAGCCTATCTAAAACCGTAAATCTTCATTATAATCATAAATACAGTGTTCTGTGAAATATGTTCACAATAACAGTTTAAATATTTAAAACTATGTTTTACTTCTGATATAAACATTTAGATTAAATATGCCATTCTGATTAATGGAGTTAGACACTTAAATTAGCTACATGAAATCATTACTGAGAAGTTAAAAACATTTTTTTATATTCAATAAATAGAAATCTTTGTTGTGGATGCAATGCTTTCAAACACTTCTCCTCTGGCATGCTGTGTTTTAATGTTTTAACTACAGAGATAATTGCTTATCACGATAATAGCAGATTGTCTGAGAAAATAGTTTCGCGCAAGTAATGCACTACAAGGTCTATCTGTTTCCATTAAAAATATAAATCAATTAAAAATATTTTTTGGCCAGTGGAAAAGATTGAGAAAAACTTTCTCTGAAATGTATTTACACTATTTGATTTATTTATTCAAAAACAAGGCAAGGATATAGGCTACTAAATTATTTTTTATTAATGGAACTAATGTGACGGCACATCCGTATTTCATATTTTCCAAATGTCTTGTACCGTTAAACATGTTATCGCGTGGATGAATAATCATATGCAAATGATATGCAGATGAGGATATGCATAGTAAAACTAGGCGTTATAATCTCCATATATGGTTATTTCGGGGAGGAGACGCGCGTGCGCACAATCTTCCGCTGACTGGGATTTATAAAGTGAATTCTGCGCAGGTTCTGGCGTACGCACGGTTTTATAAGTCAGAATATTTGTTTGCGTACGCCATTTTTGGCTTTCGGACGCACGTACACTTTTAGTAAGGATCCTACGCACAGTTTTATAAATGAGACCCCTGATCTGTTGCAGAGAGGCATGGATGGAAGGCAACTGAATATAGACAATTTTTGTTGTATACTGGGCCAGTTGCACTAGTTGATATACTTGCCTCACCAGTTTACAACAACTTCATGTTGCTATATGTGGCCATATCTATACTGGCATGTCCAAATCTCTGTGTGATCTTCTGTGACTTTGCAAAAACCTTGCTTGTGTCTTTTGTAGAGCACTTTGGACAGCTTTATGGCAAGGAAAATCTCGTGTACAATGAGCATGGCCTTATACATCTCAGTGATGATGTAAAAGAACATGGGCAGTGTCTGGACAACATTTCTGGTTTTCCCTTTGAGAACTATCTTGGGCAAATAAAGAAATTGATCCGCAGCCCTCAGTTCCCAGTTGCACAAGTTGTGAGGCGAATGTCAGAGCTTGAAAATGCAGAGTGCATGTGTAGATAAAAAAATAATAAAGCCAAACTCAAAAAGCCACACAATGAGGGTCCTCTGCCATCTTACATTACATGTCCAGTCACCCAGTACAAAGAAGCTAGTTTCCCACACTTTTGTGTCAAGATATCCACGGGAGATAACTGCATATACCATAATAATGTAGTAGGCATAGTCCGGAATATCATTGAGGTTGATGGCGTTCTGCATTTTGTGTATAATGAGTTTAAGCATTATTCAAGCTTCTTTGACTACCCTATAAATTCATGCAAGTTGGGTGTGTTTCTTCTCAAAGACTTGTCCCAGGAATTGAAATGTGTTAAGATGGATGAGACTTTGAAAAAGTATGTACTCCTTCCATACAGGAATACATTTGTAGGTATGCCATTTCTCCATTTGCAATAACCAACGCATTCTCATTCTAGGGCGTCATATACTGACGCTTTTGACATTTCGTCCACATCCTATGCACATGGCATCCTTTAGCGTCAATATGACTTATGGTTAGGTTTAGCTATGGGGTAGGATTGGGGTTAGACCGCTAGGAGGCGCCTTCTGGCCCATATCTATCTGCGTCTCATATTGACGCTAAAGGGTGCCATGTGCGTAGGATGTGGACAAAAATTAATAAAATGTAAATATTCTACCAAACATTTTGACGTAATTAATTTTCTTTTAAGCTTAAATGGACACGTTGAGTGCAAAATGAAGTTAAAATGCCTTAGCATTATCCACGTAAACACATCAGTTATGAGTTTTAAACAATTGAGGAAGGAAATAGATGCATTTATATTAGGTCTGTACATTCGTCTTAAAGGGACCTTATGTATCAAACAACAAAAGAGAAAGAGGAAATTACTTTTATAGCTTTAACACTGATACATATTAATTAATTGTATTAGTTATATTTAATTAATACAGTAAATACTTATTTTACATTGATTATTGAATTTCCTGAATACTATTTACCTGAAAAATAAAGCACTGCTTATTTCACTATTATCTTTCTTCTATTGTATTTATCTATGCTTGTAATTTGTTTGTTTTTTAATTTTCTATGCAGATTCACTCCCCTACAAAATCAACCCAATGAATTATTAATTATTTTCAAATAGAGACATTCAAATCATCTGGTGAAATTGCTTTTATATCAAAATATATAACTACATTTTAACAGAGGGAAAACTCAAAACATCAGTGGTCGAATATTATTTCAATATGTCCGAGCGTCATGTCCGTAACGGAGAACTGTCATGTCCGTAACATTGTTTTTTTCCTCATAAATGCAAACACGAAAAATAAAATAAAAATAATATTTTATGTTCTGTGGAGGCCGAACCTTCTTTATCCGGTGGGTAGTATTACTTTTGTTTTGCGCAGTGTAATTCACGGTCTCTAAACACTTCTATTGTAAAACAGTGGGTCATTCTACGGAAAAGTACATTTTTCTGTCCCTAGCCTTTACAGAAATATTACACTTAAAAAAAAAAAACTTTAGAATTACAATTTCTTTACATTTTAAAATAAAACAATGTCATTTGAACAATTACACCTTCTTGAGCCATCAAGTGGCAATATTTTATTTTTTTATTAATTATAGGCTATAAAATTCCAAACACCATAGAAGTGCTTGTCCCCACAGTCATGTGGAAAAATGCTTTATTTTGAGGTCAATAACAGGTTTTACACCATTTAAAATACAATAATGTATACATAACTATGTAATATATTATGTAAATGACATTAAAAAAAACTAAATGCAGAATAAATATTATAAAATTTATAATGAAAGTAGTGGTCCCCTGGAGTTGTGTCACTGGTGTTACCGTTAAACAAAAATCTCTTATTTTAAAATAAAAATCATTCAAAGCTATTCATTTAGATTATATGCCAAATGTAACAATTTAGTCTCATCTACTTAATTTGAAGAATAATGATATTTGGTCTTATGCTTGTCATTGGTGATGATTCACTGGTGTTACTGTCTTTTTGTCTGTCACATTGAATACAATGCCATATGTGACACTTTTACATCCATTTAATTCTGCTACACTCAAGTTAAGTTAAGATTTAAAGGATTGCATCATTACTTGATTTTAACTGGTTTTCAAATATTTTCATTGTTATAGCAAATACAAGGTTGCGCAAACGAACTAACCTCATTCAAGCACACCTTTAACAAACCTGATTAAAATACAAAAAAAAAACATTCTCCTTATTTGTTGCATTATTATTATTATTTGGTAACTCTGACTACATGTGCTGAATTTTTTTTTCATAAAAACATTTAATATTGCCAAAGAAGTAAGGTAACGGTCAGTGACAAAAAAATGGTACATGCGATCTTTAAATAAATGCACAAAAAATATAAAATATCATTAAGCTGTCATTTATGCGTATTCATAAAGTCAAAGGGTAATCTAATAATGTGGTGTAAGTGTAAATGTAAATGTTAGAAAAATAAATCAATTTTAAGACATCTTGCCATACCAAAAGTGGACGTTTTTGTAGAATGATCATATAGCCTATTAAATGCTTCGATACGTGTGGAATAACATTTTCTTTCTGGTATGCAACAAGATGTTAATAAAGCACATTTATTTGTTAAATAATTTACATTAAGTATAAAATATATTAAAAATTACCACTTATCTGTCGCTCTTCTGCCTCTGATCTGCGTCAAAGTTTCCGTTGATGACGTATATCCGGTTAAGACGATCGAAAATAACTCAATAATTTTTTTTAAAAAATTGGTAAACCTATTTTATTTTTAATTACATTGATTACATTTAATGAAATTAAGCTGGAATGATTTCTCTGAAGAGAATGTTTTTATTTTAATTAATGAAATTGAACAAAGAGCTCAAATAAAAAAAATCTGAGTGTGAAGACTGGAGTAATGATGCTGAATATTCAGCTTTGCAATTATTAGCTATATATATATATATATATTACTTGTGTAGAAGAAGAAAAGAAAAGCTGGCTCTTAACACGAGTGATTTATTTATTTTTTGCATCTCAGAAATTACTAGCTGTCACAGAATAATCATACAACCTCTGTATTATGTACTATTGTAAATCATTGTATTATGTACTTTTGTAAATCATTGTATTATGTACTTTTGTAAATCATTGTATTATGTACTTTTATAAATCATTGTATTATGTACTATTGTAAATCATTGTATTATGTACTTTTATAAATCATTGTATTATGTACTATTGTAAATCACAGGTTTTGTTTTTAGTTTTTGGGGTTTTTCAAATTATTTTTAAATCCTTTTCTGTTCAAAGACAATGTATCACATTGTCGACTTCCTCGACACGGGAGACTCAGAGGTTGTTCCATCCTCATGGGTAAAGGATGGTCGAAGCCTCTGGCCTCCATTTAAAGTAAGGGAGAAATGCAACAGGGTAGTGGTGAGAGGAGACCCTCCTGACGAATCCTGGCCGAGTCACACCATAAGGATAAGGGCAACAAAAAGTAGGATTAAATTATGATTCAAGTATTAATTACAACTGGCATTAACTTCAAGAATAAATATATTATTAGAATTTTTGATGAGTGGAAACATTAAAACTATTCTAAAATGAATAAATTTTCTATCTTTTTTTCCCAGATACATTTAGTGAGGCTTGGCTGTTGCTCCCCAGAGCACTGCAGACATCCGATCTCCAAACAGAGGATGACGAGGACAACCGTCCAGCGTATAAAAAAAGAAAGAGAAGGTATAGCACTCATTGGTAACATTTCATTTTTCTTTTCTTGTGTTTTTTTCCGACCCAAATCCGATCAACTATAAGTGCATGACATCAACACATCCTGTGATGTGACTATTTTGTGGATATGCTAAAACGTTATATTGTGCTGCTGTTTGACTTGGAGAGTGAAGACGACGACTGTGACATCCCTAATAAGCAACCCAGAGGGGAAATCACCAAGGCTCCATTAGCTTTAGCCCCTCCACCAGCTATTGCTCCTCCAGCTGTCATCTCTCCTCCAGCTGTCATCTCTCCTCCATCTCTCCTCCATCTCTCCTCCAGCTGTCATCTCTCCTCCATCTCTCCTCCAGCTGTCATCTCTCCTCCAGCTATTGCTCCTCCAGCTGTCATCTCTCCTCCAGCTGTCATCTCTCCTCCAGCTGTCATCTCTCCTCCTCCAGCTGTCATCTCTCCTCCAGCTGTCATCTCTCCTCCTCCAGCTGTCATCTCTCCTCCTCCAGCTGTCATCTCTCCTCCAGCTGTCATCTCTCCTCCAGCTATTGCTCCTCCAGCTGTCATCTCTCCTCCATCTCTCCTCCAGCTGTCATCTCTCCTCCAGCTATTGCTCCTCCAGCTGTCATCTCTCCTCCATCTCTCCTCCAGCTGTCATCTCTCCTCCAGCTATTGCTCCTCCAGCTGTCATCTCTCCTCCAGCTGTCATCTCTCCTCCAGCTGTCATCTCTCCTCCTCCAGCTGTCATCTCTCCTCCTCCAGCTGTCATCTCTCCTCCAGCTGTCATCTCTCCTCCTCCAGCTGTCATCTCTCCTCCAGCTGTCATCTCTCCTCCAGCTGTCATCTCTCCTCCATCTCTCCTCCAGCTGTCATCTCTCCTCCAGCTATTGCTCCTCCAGCTGTCATCTCTCCTCCAGCTGTCATCTCTCCTCCAGCTGTCATCTCTCCTCCTCCAGCTGTCATCTCTCCTCCTCCAGCTGTCATCTCTCCTCCATCTCTCCTCCAGCTGTCATCTCTCCTCCTCCAGCTGTCATCTCTCCTCCAGCTGTCATCTCTCCTCCAGCTGTCATCTCTCCTCCAGCTGTCATCTCTCCTCCAGCTGTCATCTCTCCTCCAGCTGTCATCTCTCCTCCAGCTGTCATCTCTCCTCCAGCTATTGCTCCTCCAGCTGTCATCTCTCCTCCAGCTGTCATCTCTCCTCCAGCTGTCATCTCTCCTCCAGCTGTCATCTCTCCTCCATCTCTCCTCCAGCTGTCATCTCTCCTCCAGCTGTCATCTCTCCTCCAGCTGTCATCTCTCCTCCAGCTGTCATCTCTCCTCCAGCTGTCATCTCTCCTCCAGCTGTCATCTCTCCTCCAGCTGTCATCTCTCCTCCTCCAGCTGTCATCTCTCCTCCTCCAGCTGTCATCTCTCCTCCATCTCTCCTCCAGCTGTCATCTCTCCTCCAGCTGTCATCTCTCCTCCAGCTGTCATCTCTCCTCCAGCTGTCATCTCTCCTCCAGCTATTGCTCCTCCAGCTGTCATCTCTCCTCCATCTCTCCTCCAGCTGTCATCTCTCCTCCAGCTGTCATCTCTCCTCCAGCTGTCATCTCTCCTCCAGCTATTGCTCCTCCAGCTGTCATCTCTCCTCCATCTCTCCTCCAGCTGTCATCTCTCCTCCAGCTGTCATCTCTCCTCCAGCTGTCATCTCTCCTCCAGCTGTCATCTCTCCTCCATCTCTCCTCCAGCTGTCATCTCTCCTCCAGCTGTCATCTCTCCTCCAGCTGTCATCTCTCCTCCAGCTGCTACCAGACCAGCAGTTTATCTTGGTGTCCACAAACCGACCTCTAGCATGGCACCCCCTAACCAGCCCAGGATAAACAATCAGCCAATGTGTGATCGTAAGTATTTTCAGCAATTACTACTACACAGCAGAATTCATTAAAAAATTACTTGGAAATATGTTTAGCAACATTGTCTTTTATTTCTGGTACAGCTATAGCAACTTGAAACCTATTTAGTTTGATAAGATTCTTGAAGTTCTTGGACTAACAATAGGGGGATAGAAATCTCTCAGGTTACAATAAAAATATCTTAATGTGTTTTGAAGAAATGAATGGGTCATGCAATGAGATGAGGGAAACTGTCAGTTGTGAACAAACTATTAAATAAAATATAACTTGAGTGTGTTTATATTTTACAGAAATTCTCCGTGAGATTTTTAACACAATGGAAACAATTAAGCAGCAACAGAAATGCAAACTAATTACCCCCATACATTGGAGGTGCCAGACGTTTCAGGATTCCCACTGACATCACTCAATGAACTGGCGAAGCTGGAGGAGAGCATTGCTGCACAGGGGGATATATACAGACGAAAACTGGTATGTTTTCCTATGTCAAACGTGTTGGACTGATATTTGCTTTGTTTAATTGTGACTCCTACAACAGTGATTTTTTTATTTGTGTTGGGAGTGAACATTTAATTATTTTAGTATTTTATATATATAGAACTAATTTAGCTAACTTTGCTGACATCTGTTAATTATTGTCATAGTAGCCACATTTAATCTACAATGTACCTAGGGCTTTGTGAAGTGTGTGTGACCTCACAATCATTTTGCTTTGCACATATATTAAATGCATTCATGTCTGCAGAGAGGTTCAGCGCAGCAGATCGAGCAGCATCAAGAAGAATATCAAATATTGTGGAAGTGCCCTCCTCAATGTCTATTGCACTATGCAAACAGCATAGCGTCACAAGGACTTTTTATTCAAGAGTAAAAATCACCCTCCATTAAAATTGTTCTTCCTATAGAGAAGACATTACATTGCAGAAGGCAGTAAAAATTAAGAAAGCAAACGTATCAAAGCGGCTAAACGCCAACGAGCCTCTAATCACACAAACACAATAACATTATCATTGTAGAGCTGCAATTATATCTAGACATTCTTTACTTGGCTGGGAGGGCAAAAAATAGCATGGTTGGACACCGTCCACCATTAGTATCACTATTACTCTTTCCCTGTCCGTTATAATCAACAATATTTAATTTATTCACGATCACTACTTTCTTACATTTTCACTTTAGGGCACCCAACCTATTTGTCAATATTGTCTTTCAGGTCACCTATTTTGGACTGGCAGGTGGGCTGACTGTGAAAGAGAGTGTGTGGAGGATCATGACAAAATTAATGACAAACAGGCTGGCTAAGCAAATTAATTGGCGTGGGTTAAATGGGAAATATGCCTTTGAACAACTTGTCATCAAAGATGTTGTCCTCAGTAAGTTTTATTTGTGTTTTATAGTGTTACTCAGCATTATAGGAGAAAAACTTTGACACTTTCTTTCTATATAGTGATGAGAAGATTTATAGTGAGCCTGTGATCTGTTTATCTTGGCCAGGTCGCCGTTTTTAATGAGAATGCCTACCTGGTTAAATAAAGGTTAAATAAAAAATAAAAATAAAAAAAGTGATCAAATTTGTAGTAAACTTCATTCTGATTTTTCATGTCAGAATTATTATAATTTTTACTGACATTTTTCCATATTACATTTTGAATCCATAAAGTGCTAGATTTTTTTTCCATCTTCTTCCCATGGTCTTAATAAAAAAAAACAGCTTTAAGTTAAAACAGGCACACTTATGCCACATATCAACACACATACCTAAATTATAATAGTTTTTCTTTTTCTTTTTAAAAAATCTATCCGACAGAATCGGATGGAGAAACTGAGAAATATATAAAAAGATGGCTGCAGCTGGCATCTGATAGGGATGGGGGAAGAAGAGAGCGGGCCCTAAAACAAAAAAAAATCCTCTTAAGGTATGTTTCAAAGGTTGTTTTCCATATACTATTGAGATCTATCTATCTATTAACTGACTAACCATGTGTCATTCAGTGTCCCCTATTAATTTCATTCTTTCTGTCATTCTGTACCTCTTTTAGGATATCCTTGAGGTGAGCCTGAGAGTTCATTCAATTTCTCAGTTTTTATGCATTTGTTCTTGTCAATTTTATTTTATGTTTATCTTGTCAAAATGTTTAAATACATTTATAAATAAATTTTCTGAAATTTACATGGTGTCATTTTCATTTGGGGCGTGACCTCTTGGCAGGATTAAAACAATAATATTTTTTGCAGTAAAGTCAAGTAGATTGTTTATTTTATTAATATTTTGTGTAAATATTTGTTAAATGTTGAATTCGTGTTTATATAAAATAAAATGCGTCAGACCGTGACGTCATATCACGACCATGCTGTCATGTGTTCAGTGTTACTAGAAAATCATTCTCAGTTCATGAAAAGTGAAAGTTTGTTTGAGCTCATCTAAATATAGTTGAAGTACCAGCAAAAGAGATTTTGCGACTGACAAATAGGCTAGTTTCGAGCAGTAAAGCACAACACCTACAGTACAAAAGTGTAACACTTAAAGCCTCTGAATATTTGCATAGCCTGCTTAGTATTAATGGTTTTCGACTAATATCTCTTACAAAAATAGAGATATAATTCTGAAAATGATATCGTTATTTTCAGTTCGAATAGACGATTCCAACAAGCCCTGTGGCATTCGAATCCGTTGAGTTTTCGTCCTGATAGGTTTTTCACTCTTCAAATCTAAAGATATATATTTTTTTTTTCAAAAACAAATAATCGATTTCAAAAGGGTCCCGGACACATGACAACTCCCCCAGACCACTGCCACAATGAAGACATGATAGTTACCTTACTGGTCCCAGGTATTCTGATAGTGACTGCTTGTGGATGAAGAGCTCCACCCCCTCTATCGTGACTGACTGAAGTGAAGTTATGCCAGAGCCGCACAGCATCTGAACTACGTTTTACAAGGGTAAGAAAATATACTTTTGTTTGAATAAGTACTAAAAACTATGTCTATAAAGGATCATATTTTATTTATTCGATGTCTGACTGAGATAGGTTTTTCACAAATTTGCTGAGATATAGTGACGTCACCGGCGCCTCTGCTCGCGGCCGCCATTATGAAACGCGCACGTTGGTTTTCTGCTGATTTCTCTGCCAAAACTCAGCCAAAAATTCTGAAACTTATATCGTTATTTTCAGTTCGAATAGACGCTTCCAACAAGGTCCTTGTCTACAGGCACATTCAGCTACCCGGAGCTGTGGAAGACTTTACTGTAAGTTCATCAAATGTAATGAGTTTATACTTGTGACATCTAATATTTTCTCACGTATGCATTAGTAAATTCACTCACTCACACTCACTTACACATACTCACTCACGCACTCATTGAGTCACTCATTTATAATGACAGCTTTTCAATGTTTTCAAGGATGTGGAGTGGGTGGGCCGTGTCATCCACGGAAGTAGGGTGATACTGCGGACAAGGAGAAAAACCTCGGGTTGCCTTGAGCCAGGCTGAGGAAGCTGTAAGTTTCATTGCGACACAAAGAGTAGTTTGCTCACCACCAATGTTTGAAATGTAATAACTTTTTGGACTTTTTTTTTTCATAGATATTGCACCAGTACTACCTGACAATCAGGCCTCACATTTTTAATCAAGAAAAAGGCTGCAACCGTTTTTTTCTGACCTGTTCTGGTGATAAGGTCCACAGTATCTCCCAGGACATGAACAACCTCCACTCAATGTACATACCTACACAGATACATGTGCACATGTCTGGATGTATGCACTCAGTTACATCTTGTCAGTCACAGTCATTTCACGATTAACATTTCCTTTAAATTTTTATGTCAACAGGTATAAACTGGCCATGTCAAAAAAGCCAGGACGTTCGGAGGGCGGTTGGGGTGGACGCCAAACTTTTGTCAGCACACCAGCATGAGGCAATCCATTTATATTTGGGCCATATGTAGCGGGTATTAACTCACTAATGGACCAGACAAATAAAATCAGAAGACTGCTTGGTACGAAAACGGAGGTGGTGGTGATGCTGAGAAAACAGGCAGAGACAGAAGGTAGGTTGAACCTTAAAAGGTAACTTTACTTTTTGTATTTAGTGATCCTTTCTCTTTTGTATTTTCTTCTTTTTTTTTGGTTCCTCAATCACAAAATAACAATACAAAACAACAGAGGAAATAAATATATACAAAAAACTTATATATTGCCTGGGTGCACCCTCTAAATAACTTTTTGCATATCAATAATCACAATTGCACTCACTGTATCCAAGTGATCGCAAATGAAAGAAAAAACAAAACAATCACCAGTGGCCAAACACATTAACCACTGCTTCCAAGAAATATCAATTGGAATGTTGATCAATGTTATATTTTCACAATTGTGTAAACAGAGTTACTGTTTCAGTCCCAAAAAACAAATATCAGTCTCTGAAAACGTGTACTCCTACTTATCCGAGCAGGTGAAACGGAATAATGAGACGGAAAACTGTCCTCTCCTCTAAGTTCGTGATCTCTTCAGAATCGAAGTGGGAGCCTCGCCATCAATTGGGGATATCCATCTTGGAAGAAACAATTCACACAGAAAAAAAAACCTGGCCTGTTCATTCACTTTATTTCCTTTTTTTTTTTCCACAGGCACGGGCAGACAAGCGCAGACAAAATGGCGTCAGCAGTGAACACTTAATACACCATGCGGTCTGACACAACCACACTGCAAATGAACAATCCAACCCATACAACATCAGAATATAACACAATTTTGTCTCATATGAATAAAACAAATAAAAAGCTTCTACATTCAATGTGTTGTCATTCGTTTTTTAATGCTAACTACAACATTGGTAAACTCACCGAGTCAATGTAAACTCTGAAGTGCCCGATTGACAATCATAAAAGGTCATCTAATATCTTACTTCTCAGATTTTTTCCGTTTTTATGAGCTTTAAACAGTTTAAGAACTATATCAGTTCAATTGTAACACTCTCTCGTCAGATTGCTCTAGTCACATCAGATATCTCCGTCGCTCTGCATCTGTTGTCTAATCTGCGCAACGCTATTCGTAAGCAAGGGGCGGAGCCAGCAACCAAATGCTCCGATTGGTGGATACTCATAACTTAACTCAATTCAGATATATATTTATATTATTTTGTATAGAATTTCACATTTATGAATAATCATAACATTCAATTCAAGCAACATAAAAATAAATAATATCTGTAAAACAATTATTTAACCAGGGTTACACATAGCACCCGTGCGGTCCTTGATGAGGACTTGGTGGAGACATGCGAGCTCATATCCTCTATGGCTGGGTATGTCTCTGAATTTATCAAGGATATAACACAAACTATTTGTACATTATATTACTCTAAATATTGTATTCCCCACTTATGCAGGACTTATGTTCGGACTAGGGGACAGCAGCAGTGGCTGAAACCAGCACGCGCCGTTCCTTTAACAAGTTTTTGGAGGTGTTCCCTGTCTCACTGCAGGGCCAGCCTCCATCTAAGAGCGCAGGTGGGACTAAGAGCGAAGACAGAGCACTATATGATAAGTGGCGGGCTTCCCAATATGCTCTAAGGGCAGACTATCTTGTCGGTAAGTCTCCAAATCTATCAATACAGCGATGTCACCCATTAATTCGACATTGATTCACTGTGACAAATGACTTGCATGAGTAAAGTCTTGTCATTCTGTCTTTCAGGTTACTTCAGTCTGCGGAGGCCTTCGGCCACAAAAGTGGCAAGACTAATTGGTCAGGAGGGGTGGACGACCAATTGCCCCAAAGCAGAGGAGGTCGTGAGCATGTGGAAGCCGGCCTCCAAGCAGAAGGTCGAAACCGACCCATATGTGCATCACTGTGTGGCTGAGCAGGCCTGGACAGGTCTTGCCATCAAAGATTTTGGTCCTCCCAAAGGTTTAGGTAAGAAAACCTTTCAGTTATTTTCAAGACAAGCAAATACAAAAATGTAAATTGTACCTTTTAACAGCCATTAACTGCACCAAGAACTAGAATTAAATCCTGAAACGTTGGTCTACATGCAAAGTATATTCAGTAATTCAAAATGTAATGTTTTCCTAATTATAGGAGTGGTTGCCACCAGAAACTTTGCCAGTGGTGACATTGTCTGTGATTACCACGGCAATGTCATCACAGCATCTGAGGGGAGATCGATTATGGAGGATCTAAATGGAGAGGCAGGGTACCTTTTTTTTTTTTTTAATCCAGGGAGAAAGGCTTGTGTGTGGATGCCCAGACCTTTCCCTGCAGCTGTCACCCACTAATAGACACTTTTGGCCGCCGCATCAACCATTCATCCAAGTCGGCCAATGTAAAGCCAATCAGGTGCAAGATGACTTTTAACAGGAAAGAAAAGGACATTGTTTTATTCAAGGCCCTGAAGAACATCACTGTGGACGAGGAGCTAAAAGTTGACTATGGGATCAACCGAAAATCCTTCTGAGGGGAGGGGTTAGACCTTGAGTGGTTGGATGATTAAGCCCCAGTCCATTTTTTTCAACAAATATTTTATATATATAAATATTTATCTATAATTTACTAACAAACTTTTAGTTTTTATATGTTAGTGTCATAAAAATAAAAATAAAAACTTTTTTAACCCAGCCTCTGACATTACACAAAGTAGTGCAGTGTCAGTGCCGGTCCCAAGCCCGGATAAATGGTGAGGGTTTTTACTCACTTATTGTGTACTTTGTCACAGTCACCAGCTCCTCACTACATTTCCCATAGCCCTCAACGGCCCTCACCTACATGCACTTACCTGACTCCTTACCTGCACGATACCTACCTGAACAACTTGTCTTTAGTCATCTGCTTACTTCATCTTCAATCATTGCCTTGATCAGCATATCAGAACAGACATCTATCCTGAACAATGTATAAATATGTTGCTCATCTGCTTCCATGTTGCGATCGCATACTTCTGCAAATAAACCTGTTGATTATTTGACCTGTGTGAATCATTTAGGGACCGTTCGGAATTTATGGAAAGGGCCACCGGAGGAAAATAGGGGAGGGTCATGTATTTTTATTCTTTGTTGAGGGGAGGGTCATCCAACTTTTTTTAGTCTATAGGGGAGGGTCACCCAACTTTTGTATTCATCAAAACAGCTAAATTTCAAAGTGTCTTGTTTGGTGCATATTTCTTTCCATGTAGCTACAGCTCTCTCGGTCTCGGCCCCCCATCGCTATCAGATGGGTCTGACCCAACAAAAATCCAGTTTGGCGCTGTCTGACAGTGCGCGCGCGCTTCAGTAGGCTACGCGCTCAGAAAAAGTGCATTAGAACAGAACGCCAATGAAATGTTTACCCGGCAAAGCTTTAAAGCACAAGCAAATAATGAACTTTGGGGATTGCGAATAAGTGCAGTGTCCTGTGAGTGCTAGTCTACCGCTGCATTAACATGTGATGTGAATGTACGTCGAGTTTTACAGTAATGGGACTGAGGTGCCAGAACTGCAGCTGATATAATGTGCGCTGTAGCACGATACTATTTTAGTTTCCATTTGTATTGTGTTTCCACAACAATGTTAGTGAGCAAATCTACTGAAATTGCCACAATAACAGTGGAGTGTGATGTGTTGGACATAGGGCCAGGCACGGCGTTATGGGTTAGGCCCACCCAAAACTTTTCTTCAAAAATATTTTGTCAAGAATTATAACAATAAGCTCATAATTTGTGCTAAAATAGTCTAAATGTTTAGTTTTAAAAACAATTTTAAAAAGCTGGTTATGTCTATTTTGATGTTTCTGCGCAAGTTCAGCAGACAGTGTTCGGATTTGTTCCGATCAGAGCATGTGAGCGGAGAGCGCATTTCTGAATATTCCGCTCTGCTCACTCATTCCGCAGGGTCGCGCGCTCAACCCAGTGGCCTGCTGGTTCGAACTTCGAAGATATGTGGAATAAGGCCTCCGACTATTTTTTTTCCCCTAGTCGACTAGTTGTTCATTTGTCCATTAGTGGGCAAATCGCCCCTTTATATTAATTTAATTAGGCTACTTAAAAAGGGCAGGCTGTATATAGCCTAGGCTACTATGGAAGCTTGTTTCCGCCATATAAAACATTTTAAAAGATAATTGCGACTTTATCTCACAATTGTGAGTTTACATCTCACAATGTTAGATGTAGGCTATCTCGAGTTTCACAATGAGTTTACATCTCACAATTCTGACTTTATTTCTCAGAATTGCGTGAAATAAAGCCGCGATTGCGTGTTATAAAGTCAGAATTGCGTGAAATAAAGCCGCGATTGCGTGTTATAAAGTCAGAATTGTGTGAAATAAAGCCGCGATTGCGTGTTATAAAGTCAGAATTGCGTGAAATAAAGTCGCAATTGCTTCTTTTTTTTTTACCCCAGAATAGTTTATATCTCACAATTCAATTCTGACTTTGTAACACGCAATTGCGACTTTATATCATGCAATTCTGCCTTTATATCTCCCAATTGCGTATTATAAAGTCAGAATTGCGAGATATAAACATGCAATTCTGTGAAAAAAAGTCAGAATTTCAAGCTATATTTCTCGCACTTTCAAGCTATCATGCAATTTTGACTTAATAACATACAGTTGCGACTTTTGGCCTATATCAGACAATTTTGACTTTATAGCTAACCTGCGATTGCCACTTTATATCACGTAATTCTGAGATAAAAAGTCAGAATTGTGAGATTAAAAAATCGCAATTACATGTTTTATTTTTCACTCTGTGGCGGAAACATGCTCAAGTTGTCGTGCAATGCAAGTGATCGTGCGGGCGCTTTATTACATTGTCTGCTATATATTTGCTTCTTATTTATTAAATACAGGCATTTGGTTGATAAAACATTGATCAAAATTAAGATACAATTTATACAAAACGAAAATCTTTTTAAAAAAATGTCTTTCTACAAAACAAAACTCAAGTGGTCAAAATAATGTTTTACCCACTCCATGTCTCCAGAAATATTTCAGCGCTTATCATTAGCTTGTGAAAGTGTGAAAATAATTTCCAGTAAAGGACAATGTTGCAACAGTCGTTGTTTAGGTACCTTAAACGCGCACGTACAGTCTCTGAGTCATCACTGCAAACCAGGAGATGAAGGAGAGCTGAGATGAGATCCACATCACCTAGCACATCTTCGTCTCTGCCTGCACCCGCTATAGTGCGACTATCGCAGCTAGCGCGACCAGCGCCGTTGCTAGGAGGGCGCCAGCGCCTCTGCCTATCCCATGAGTCCTAATAAATGCAATTTCAACTATTTCTGAAGTGCTTCTTTTATAAAGAACACCGCTTTTTCTTTTATCGGGAAACGCAGCCCAGGTATGATGCGTAATGGAGATTCCAAAAGCGCTCTTCTTTTGGTCAGAACCAAGGAGAGCGATCACGAGGTCCGTCCTGACTCCACATGCACCGAAACTTTTTAACAATGCAACAAAATATTTAAAGAGCATCAGCCTATTAAAATCTATATTATGTATAGCCTATGGGTAGCCTACAGATATATTAGTCAGTAATTTTTATTAGGTTAAACAGTGATTGGATAACGTTTTTAATTTAAGGCCCACCCACAATTGGTCTGGCCCATCCAAACCTGGAATCCTGGCGCCGTGCCTGCATAGGGCTACCACATTTTTAAATTAGCCTACTATTCGTATTATTTGAAGTTAACATAATAAAATACGTAGACCTATACACCAAAACAACTTGTTGAGGATAAATTCTTTAAAATTGGGCAATTCCAGCGTTGTGGACGTGACATTTGCAGTCAAAACTTGAAATATAAATTCTCAGAAAATACATTTAATACTGAAACGTCTGTTTATATATTCATACTCCCTTAAGGCGGGCTTACACGGTGCGATTTTTTGCTGTTTGACGAGCTCGCAAATGATTTTTTTCACTCTGGAGAAATCGCGTGGAAATCGGTTGTGGTCGCATGTTGGGCTCGTGTGTGCTAGGAAGATACGAGCCGAGCCGAGCCGAACCTCTCGACCTCACGATAATTTTTAAACATGTTAAAAAAGTTCAGGAGAAGTAGGCTAGGCTTGAATTCGTGAGGTGTGTGCGCTGTGCTGAATGAGCCGATTTGTCGATCTATCTGAATTTGACCAAGAAATCCACTGAAGAAAGACGAAAATGGCAGCGCGCGAATCTGGACTATTGAAAGGGAACCCTACTACTTTATTATGATTTTAGTATCATATTGATTAATAAATGCACGCACAATTAATCAGTGAACTTGATAAATGTTGCAGATATGTTTTACTATGCACAAACAAATGCCTTTCAACTTGTGTGCAAAATTCTGAATTAAATGAATGTGCAGCAATATGTACAAATATAGTCTGTAGCCTATGTGTTGTAGCCATAATAAGCGCATTTAGTTTCATATTTATTATAATGTTTTTTTTCATCTATGTTTATTATGAAAAGTATAGCCTATACGCAATATATCGGGAGACATGGCCAGACATGATTTTGACCACCTCATTAAGTGTTGTTTTGTAGAAAGCCTTTCTTTAAAGTGAATTTCGTTTTGTATAAATTGTATCTTAATTTTAATCAATTTTTCATCAACCAATTACCTGGATTGAATTAGCCTAATAAGAAGCAAATATAGCTGGATTTACAAATGCACATCTTCATTGTTGCATGCAGCACACATATGTCGAAATAAGACATAACCACAAAAATCATCGAATTGTCCTGGTTTGAGACTGTTAATAACACAAAATATTCTTTTTTATTTTTTTCGTGTTCGCATTTATGAGGGAAATTTTTTTTTACTGACGTGACAGTTCTTCTTTACGGACATGACCGCTCTGAAAGTGACTTTAAAACTTTTACAGATAAATATATAGAAAGCTTGACATGTCTACTTTTTAACAGAATAATTCAAAACGAAAGAAAACAGACTACAGACTCTGCTTCTGTAATCCGTAAATGTGCATTTCTCTCTGGCGCGTTTACTACTGCGAAGATCGCGAGTCAGCATCATCACCTTTATATTTGCAGCCACACTGACAAAGACTTGTTTATTAATAAACAATTAAAATGTCCCCTTGAAATTATTCATAATCATCACTTTTGCCGGTTCTTTGTGGCAGCTTTAAGATACTGTATTGGCAGCGCCACCCTTACATTTTACGTACATGAACGCGTCACCACGGCATCAGCACCGAAAACATGATTTTTTTAAAATTATTTTTATTTTTTTCAAATCAAAAATCGTGATACGAACCGAATTGTATCTATCGTTACAGCCGCAAGATGAGAAAGCAGGAGTTTAGTCGTTTATCGTGGAATGGCTATCTGAACATCTTTGCCAAAACCAGTACAAAAGTAATTAATAAATTATCGGGGAGGGTCATGCCTTTTTTCACAATCATTTTGGAGGGTCATAGAAAAAATTATTGCTGGCGAAGGGAGGGTCAAGTCTTTTTTGACTACAGATCTCAAAA